CCCGCGCCGCTTCTCCCCTCGGTAACTATATGAGGAGGACGCACCTCCGCAGCCACATCCACTCCGCTCCGCTCAGCGTGGACCCGCGCTCCCTCTCCGCAGCTCCGCCCCAGCGGACGCGCCGTTCTTCCGTTGCTCATCATGCCTCGTTCGTTCCTCGTGAAGAAGTACTTCTCCAACAGGAAGCCCTCCTGGGACCGGGACAGCCAGCTGGAGAGCCAGGCGGGTAGGTTCTCGGTGCATCCGTGATCTGACGTGTGGTTTTGTCAAAGAGATAAATAAGTTGGGGACTTTTCCCACCCTGCATGTTCTCCTGGGACACCTTGATGATCCGCTAATGGGGAAACCAGATGGATCGGGGGTTAAACTGTAACGGGACACTCAAGAATGACTTTTAGTGCTTCATCAGTTCCTTCCTCTTCTGCCCTCCAGCGTTTGTCCCAGAAAGCTTTGCGCAGGCCGAGCTCCCGACGCAGAACGGCAGCTTCGCCCTGACCTGCTACCCGACCGGCCCCTCCTTCAGTGGCGTGGGCGTCCTGCCGGCGCCCCTGTCCCCCATCGCGCCCGCGTCTCCGTCCCCCTCGCCGCTCGGCCCCCTGGACCTCAGCAGCGCTCCGTCCAGCAGCGAGGAAGAGGAGGAGGAGGAGGAGGACGGCGGGCGCACCTCCGACCCCCCCAGCCCGGACGTGGTGCAGCACGCGTTCCACTGCCTGCGCTGCACCAGCAGCTACAGCAGCCTCTCGGCGCTGTCCCACCACCAGGCGTCCCACCACCAGGCGTCCCAGCGCGCCCGGCAGCAGCATTCCTCGCCTCTCCCCCCCGAGGCCGCCGCCGCCGCCGCCGCCCGCCCGGCCTTCCACTGCAAACACTGCCCCAAGGAGTACACCAGCCTGGGCGCCCTGAAGATGCACATCCGCTCGCACACGCTGCCCTGCGTCTGCCCCACCTGCGGAAAGGCCTTCTCCCGGCCGTGGCTGCTCCGGGGTCACATCCGCACGCACACAGGTACGGACCGATCCCGCTCGCTGTCCGGTGACATCCGGTGACCCCTCCTTAATGTCTTTGCTTGGCGATCTAATCGCGACGGCTCTGCATGCAAACTAAGTTCACGTAAATAAAGGTCGTTCCCGCTCTTTTGTCTGCGGATCATTTGAAAAACAATGACCCCCCCCCCCTCCTCATTCTGTCCTGTTAAGTGCACCGTCCTAACGCGCTGTTGTTACCCCCCCCCCACCAGGTGAGCGGCCCTTCGCCTGTCAGCACTGTAACCGGGCCTTCGCCGACCGCTCCAACCTGCGCGCCCACCTGCAAAAGCACCCCGAGGTCAAGAAGTACCAGTGTGGCTCCTGCTCGCGGACCTTCAGCCGCATGTTCCTGCTGCTCAACACAGCGCCTCCGGGTGCTGCCA